GAAGCAACACAATGACAGAACTTTGTATTGTATTCATGCTGATGAAGAGGCTGTCCCCTTGGTTTGGTAAATTAAGGCAATTATCCCACTTCTGTCTTTAGGGACTAGAAATTTAGGTGGCGGGGGTCAGTGTCCTGTTACGAATCATACTGAATACTCACAAGCAACATTTACTAACAACGAGGTAAAGTTATGATGAAACCTTAAGAGAAACTGATTTGAGAAAGCACAAACGCTGCATTTCAGCATACACCTGTACAGGTCATCTTGAGCATACTCCTCAAAGAGTTGTTGAATATCCAGTAGGTGCCAGGCGTACTGGCAGGGATGGAAACAGAGGTGGACAAGATTCCTGTGGTTCCTGCATGATGGGGTCTACCGTCTGACAGGGGAGGCAGATGAAACAAAAGGAAATGCATTCACAAAAGGATCCTCTTGGGAATGGTGCCCCTAAGGAAACAAAGCTGAGAATAATAAACTGGAGTGTTCACTTTAGACAGAATGATTAGGAAGGTCTCCAGGAGAGGTGACTGTAAACTGAGACTAGAAGGATGATATGGAGTCAGCCTGTGAACAGTGAGAGGAAAGCATCAAAGCACGAGTGAAAGCAAAGGCCCTGGGGTGGGCTGGAGTGAGTTGGAGTGTTTGCATACCATAAAGCTCTGGACTTAATTCACACAAACCGGCTGGAGCATTCCCATTCTATCTGGCCAGCTGCCTCTCTGACTCACCCTTGCAGTGTGAGTTGCCTTTGTATTGAGGTCCTGACAAGTGATGCCCATTTGAGATACTAACCTAAAAACAGGCTGGGATAGTCCTCCCTTTTCCACACATCTGCCACAGGCCGTGTCTTGCTTACTGTGACTTAGCCTTTCACTCAAGACTGCCCTTGACATTTATCTCATTCTGATGTTTTTTTGGCCGATATTTTTGCCTCAGGTCCTGAGAGAACAGCTGCTGACACAAGGTGGATGTTTAAAAATTACTGGCAGAATTTCTGGATGGATTTAATCAGAGCATTGGAGAGCTGATTGTTGTTGTTGTTGTCTGTGGTTATGTTTGCTTGCTTTTTGTTTTTTGGTTTTTTTTGAGTTGGAGTCTCACTCTGTCGCCCAGACTGGAGTGCAGTGGCGGCTCTTGACCGCCGCAGCCTCGACCCGCTGGGCTCCGGCGATCCTTCCGCCTCAGCCTTCCGAGTAGCCGGAACTACAGGTATGCGCTACCACGCCCGGCTGATTTTTTGATTTATCGTAGAGATGAGGTCTCGCCAAGTTGCCCGGGTGGGTCTCAAACCCGCGGGCTCAGGCCATCCACTCACCTCGGCCTCCCAAAGCACTGGGATTACAGGCTGAGCCACCCAGCCCAGCTTTGTTTGCTTGTTTCTTTTCACACAGGTAGGATTGGGTAGAGTAAATTACACGGAGTTTGAAGAAGAATGGTACAGGATTCTAACTGGCACAGGGTTGCCACAGGGCTACCTGGCTCGGCCTTGGACAAGTTGTGACCTTGGACAAGTCACCCCACTTAAGGCTTGACATCCTCAGTTACAAATGAAGGTTTTGGCCCAAGTGCTCTCCAGTATCCGTTTTCTTTCCCCCCATGATGAATCCATGGGGTATTGATGCTTGCCACTCCTTCCACACTCCTACGTGAGATATGTTATCTTTAGGCATCAACTCAGCTTATGCAATAATGATGCTTTACATTGGGAAGAAATTTATCATTTTCAAAGCACTCTCACCTACACAATCTCATTTGATTTTAACCAGTCATGTGAGGTATTTAAGGTAGCTATGATTTTTTTTTTACATCTGCCAAAAAGTGAAACTTGCCCAAGGTCACAAAGAGACAGAAAAACGAATGAGTGACACTTGCCTGTACTACCCTGATTATAGGTGGCACAATGAATCAGATCAGAGCTCTGTCATGTTGGAGTGATGCAAATCGTGCAGCAGCCATGATCTTTTTTTAAATGTTAGTGATGGTTTTGACAAGGCTGAAATTTAAAGCATTTTGTTGTTGTTGTTAAATCTTTTTGTAGTAAGGATCAGAAAAATACTCAGGTTAGCTCAGTTGAGGACGGGGAACATTGTGGGAATTACCAATCTCATGGACAGAAGGCCCAGCGGTTGTCACAATGACCGGGATAGTTCTCTAAGCATTTCTTTTAGGACCTAACCGTCTGCTTTTCGTGAAACTCTCAAGATCGTTCTCTCCTATCCGAAGAGCAATTTCCTCAGCTTACTCATGGCTCTCGTTTCCTTGTAACCACTGCTCTTTGCACAGCTTAGCTTTCTGGCACCAGCTTTGGCCAGCTGACTCCATGACATGTTGGACCCATCACTCACCACGGCCAGTGTCCACCTCTTCCTCTTTTTGTTCCTAGAGTCCAGTCTGCTGGGGCTGGTGGGGCCGGAGCAGGAAGGCGTTACGGGGCACCCACATCAAGTTCCACTTGTTAGGGACTATTTGTGTCTCTCTCAAAATGTGTATGCTGAAGCCCTAACTCCTTGGAACATCTACCTTGGGTCAGTACTGCGTGATCGTATTAAGAGACAGGGTCTTTGGGACTTTTAACTAGGTTTAGCTGAGATCCTGAAAGTGGAGTCCCCACGATGGGATTAGTATTCTTGTAAGAGGAGGAAGACAGACCGGGTTCTCTCTTTCTCTCTCCACCATGTGAGAATACAGTAAGAATGCAGCCGTCTGCAAGTCAGGAAGAGAGCCCTCCCCAGAACTTGACACCCTGACCTCAGTCCTCCCAGCCTCCAGAAGTATGAAAAACAAATGTCTGCTGGTGAGGTCACCCAGTCTAGGGTATTTTGTTGTAGCAGCTTGAGCTGACTGAGACATACCTCTATATCATACCTATTTATGAACAGGTTCCTAGGCAAGTGAATTCGCAGATGGAGAAGGTACCCCAAAACACATCTACTGCACTTCCTTTTTTATCTAAGTTTCACAGGATCCTTTTTGGTCTCCTTTTCTTAGGTGTCTCTGATCATCGTAAGTATAACTAGAAAGCACCTATTCTCAGACAACTCGGGGGGGGGGGGATCAAAGATAAAATATTCACATTTGTCTCTGAAATTTAAAATGGGAAGGGTAGTTCCAGGTTTTCGGATTGCGGGGGGTGGGGAGGAGCCCACAAAACTAGACTAGCAGTCAGGTACCTTTAGATCCCAAACCCGATCCTATCACTGGTTTCTGGACAGATCATTTATTTTCCTTGAAATTCACGGGGATAGGGAGTCTTAAAAACCTAAAAGCTAGAGGGGATTTTATTGGATTACCTAATCTAATCTCTGCATTTCACAGCAAAAGACACTGGCGTTGGGCCTTAGGTCACAGAGCTGATTAGAGGTAGAGCCAGCGGAATATTTCTCCCAAACCAACGTTTGTGATCTTTTCATTATATCATCTAAGTACAGACTGTAGAGGCTTACTCTGAGAATCGGGGATAATGCTTGTGATAATGCAGCCTAAAGTAGCATCTAAATGTAAAATATTATTTTAAGAACATGGAATGGGGGTGGAAGACAAATTTTCATCACGTGTGAATGGACAGGAAACAAGCGATAAATATATTAAAAAAAAACAACCCTAGTTCTTGTTCTCTAAAAATTTACATACGAAGAAAAGATCTTAAAAACGGAACTGAACTCTGTTCCTGCCTCAAACCTGCATCAGCAGAGGAAGGTTAGGGTGTTCCCACTGCCAGATGGATGGTACAGGAGCATGGCTGACTGTGGACTTGATCACAGCTTGCCTGGTTTCACAGGTGGGCCCTATGCCTTCACATAGTCTGTGACCTAGGCTTGTTTGTAAGCACTCAATCAACTTCTGCCTTGGGCCAAGCTACTCAATGCTCTCTTTGCCTGTGTTCTCAGGATCAAAGCGGCCAATGTTTATAAAATTCTTGGCACACACGGTCAACACACCTGACATGTGCCTAGTGTCACCTGTCCTCATCAGTACTTGCTTTTCTCTGTTGCAAGGACTGAAAGTATTCTTTGGGAGCGGGTGGTCTCGCGGGCCAGGGACCAGCTGGTTTAGCAGAGAGAGAGAGAATGAAAGACAGAGAGGGAGTGATTTACTTAGCGGTGGCTCATCTTTATCTGTCATCCTCACCGAATTCGTAGAAGCGGCCATTGTTCCCCTGCGTGTCACAGACCAGAAGACAGGCCGGAGGAAGGGATGGCTTGGCCGGGCCCGCCCGTGG